TATGTATCTTACTGTAATGTGTATGAGTGTAAACAATGATTAACTTGTTAAATCAAACACATAGTGATTTGTGATATAAAACGATCACTGTTAGAACAATATTCATTATTCAAACATTTGATTTAAACCTCTTGTTCATTCATCACATATGATTATTTAACTTATCAGTTGTAAAGTCTTGTAGGATTCGTGTGGATTCGCCTTTATTCAAAGTGAGGAATCCAGCAGTTTGGACAGAGAGAGAAGGATTTTTGCGGGAGACCTTGACAGTTGATTTATGTCTGCGTTGAAGAACATTGAATGAGCAAAAGGTAGATTTGTGCGTCTGAATCCTCCAGCTGGTGTAACCTTGACTTTGCAGCTCTGGCGTGTATGAAAGGAAACTGTGTCAATTCGATGGTGAAAATCGACCCTTTTGATTCACTACATTGGAGTTAAAAACATAAATGTCTTAATTAGCTTGTGCTCTTGATTCAAAATGACCGAAAGTTTGAATAGACCAAAGTTAATGCCAAAGCCATTCCAAACAAGCTGCTGCCATCTTTGTTTTTTCTGTCAGTTGCAGTAATGTCCCACCCACCAAACTGATAGAGCGATGTGATTGGCAAGGCACAAGACTGTTTGGGGGCTGCTGAGTCTCTAATGGAACGTGGCTATGCTCACCTGCAGACCTTTTGCCTTCTTCTACGGTATGGATGATGTGTGGAGCGTATTCAGAAATTTTGCTCACATGAGAGCAGTAAATCTAAAAGGCTCACACCACCTCCTAGACTCCTACGGTAAATTTTACGGAGTTCCACATCCAGTGTGAATCCTCTGTTTGGACGCAATGATTTTTGGTCTTTGCAGAAGCCTTTTAGAAATCAGACCACCTCTGGTCCGCACTCAGTGTAAATGAGAGAACAGCCGGAGGGGTGGTTGCCAGTTACCCAACCTTAAACTCGTTATTAACTGTATGCTTGACGTAGACTCATGGTTAATTCAGCCTGATCGAGCTGCAATCTTACAGGCGGCTGTCAGACATCAAACATGTCAGTTCATCTCATTGACTAGTTTAAATAGTTCCTCTGGATTTTGTCAGATGCTAAGAAATGTAAATGGCAGCACAATGTCCTTTCATTGAGATAATGTCTAAATTATTTCTGAGACCACTTAGCAGAGCGATACTGCTCTGGGTAAGAAGAAAAGGCTGAGAAATACAAAAAAGCTACAGAATAATCTTAATGTGTGTTAATGACATTTTTGGGTTCATTCTAATGATTTTTATTTTCCAAAAACAGACCCCAACACTAACTAGTGTTACTCTGGTAACAAAAATGAGATTAGACGGTGCATTTCTCCCATCAAAGTCATTGTTCTCTCACTGCATGTTTTCTGGGGCTGTTGTGTTTGACAGTGTGTACGCAGATTTAGTCAGTTTTCTTCTAAATCTGAAATCTTCAAGGGTGACAAGAAAACAAAAACAGAAGCCACCACTCTGTAGCTGGGTCTACGGCTTGTTGGTTGATCACCCAGACTAAAGTTGTGGTTAAATAATCAATACCGTTATGGTGCAGAAGAAACTAAGGTAACACTTCCTTTTACAGTCCCCTAATTACTAAGTACTTGCATGGTAATTACATAGTAAGCTAAAGTGTATTATTGTGTAGTTAAAGTGTATAATTGTAACAAAGTGTAATTATTGTGTAAAGCAGTATTTACTGGGAATGATTAATAAAATAAAATCTAGAATTGAACCTGCGTTACAATACTTGTTTAAGAACTCAGGAACAATAATACACTTTAACTTACTCTGTAATTACCATGCAAGTACATAGTAATTAGGGGACTGTAAAAGGAAGTGTTACTGAAACTAAAAATACATTTAATTTTATATTTTAGCTTGAATACATTTGCAGATAGTCCTGATCATTTCAGACATCACAAAGCATTTTTAAACAGTAATTCAAACGTCAACATTTATAAAACCTTGCTGATTTCTGTTGCAACATGCGTGTTGTGTTGAGTAGAGAAATATTTTTATCTTTTATTTTTTAAACTGTTAAGTCAAAGAAGCAACAGATGGTCAGAAGCTATTGATCTCTTCTTAGAAGAGCTCCATTTTTAATACAAGTGGGATTTGGGGGAAATATCTCCGCTTGTTTCAGGTTGCTTGGTTTTCACACTTTTATACAGTATTGATGCAGGATGACAGTTGCAAAAAGGCTATCTATAGTTTGCCCCTTTTAGGAAATGTCAGCGAGAAGACTCGACTGCAGAACATTTTGCAGACCCTATTTTTATGAGAAGACGTTTAACAGCCAAACTCTGATTTCTAATATTTGTGATCTTGTTTTCCTGCAAAGCAAGAAGCCTGTCAAATAACTGCACAACTCCTGGTTATAGCTGCAGAACCGTTTCTTTTTTTCCTTTTCAGGTCTCAGTGCCATCAGTTTGAGGTGGACATGCAGCTTAAGCTGTGTGGGTAAACATGGTGCAACAGAAATTCTCTCAGGTACCTCGGTCCGGCAGCCTGCATATTGGGGCGGGCAGACATCCAACAGCATTAGGTTTCAGTGCCGTCCTGCGCTCATCTAATCAGGATAATATATACATCAGGACAGAGAGACAGCTTTTAAAAATATTATGGGCTATAGCCCAGCCAAAATATTACTGCTATAGATTTAGCCCGTAAAAGAAAGGAAAATTTATTGTCCAGTTTCCTGGTGTCTGAGTCAGCAATTCTGATTCAAGTAAAGTCAAAGACGTCAAAAGACATTTTAGATTTCAGCCTGTTTGTCACTTATTTTGTGATTTTGTTGAATATCTTTTTCAAATCATATTCTTCTTTCCTAGGTATTTTTTGGAAGCTGATTTGATGAAGCTCCAGTAGACCAACAGTGCCCTCTTCAGAAGTTATGAGGGATGGTTTCACAGATTTTACATTCTTTCCTGAAGAACTACCCCAGGTTTAAAATGTAAATTAATGAAAACAAACATACATTTGGACAATAGTAAAAAGTGTCAGTGTTCAACATGGGCAAGGTAACAGAACCGGTGCAAAGATAATGATATACCCTGCCCATGCAGTTTAACTGTTCACCCTCCTTTTTTCAGGCAGAAGATTGATCAGCTTCAAAGCATGGACAGCAAGCTGATGAACAGCTTCTCCTCTGACACTGTAAGGAAAATTAACTCTGACCCTTAAAGCAGCTATCTGGAGTTTTCTCTCTTTCAGGAATAATGTATGATATTTTAGAAAAATGTCTGTATTGTGATGTAATGTAGCATTAAACCAGTGTTTCCCAACCCTGGTCCTCAGGGCATACCTCCATGTTTTCCATGTCTCTGCTTCAGCACATCTGATTTACATGGACTCGTCAGGAGGACACCAAGTGGTGCAGATACCTGTAAATCACTCATTCATTTAAGTCAGATGTGTGGCAGCAGGGATACACTGGTGTTTAAAAGGGCGACATGGAAAACATGCCGCACAGTGTGCCCTGTGGACCAGGGTTGGGAAACACGGCCTTAGAGATCCACTTTATATATCTATATATATATACAAACACACAATATTTTATTTCCCTCCATATTCAGTAAACAGTCAATAATATGAAGCGCCACTGAGGAAAAAGTTTGTCAGCTTTTGGAATTTTAAGGAATTTGTCCCTCATTTCCAAATCAGAACTCCAAATAAAATCTTGATCTTTATTATTGCTAAAGCCCAAATTCCCTGTTAGAAATTTACCATTTTTGAAGCATAAAAAACAAAATTGGAAGGTTTTTGCAAAACAAACACATCTTACACATGTAACAGAATGAAATGACTGTTTTCCACCTAAAAGTCATTTCCCTCCTCTCCTCAGCAAGAACTAATCTGCATGAGATATTGCTCAAGATCTCATGCTCTGCTTCTAAACTGTTTCTTATTTTCCAGCTCAAGGGAAGAAGAAGATGAACACTTTCTTTTTAATAAATCAGAAGAACTCTATTTTTAATAAGCTAATCAAACAAAGTGTTAGTATGTTTATGATGAGTAGTATTTTAATAAGTAATACAACTTTAAACTAGCTGCACTAGACATTCTCATCCACGTAATGCTAAAAGTCACATGACACATTTCCTTTTTCGGATCCAATCAGAACCTTCCAGATCTGACGCGAGGCATGGTTTTGTTGGTGCTTGGTAAATCCCCTCTTGTTGTCCTTTTTTGATTCAACCGTAAATCAAAACATCCAAATTATAAAACTATGCCCACGTCATCTTAAGTTCAGTTCAAAGCGTTCTAGAGAAGTTGTCGGAGTGGCCAATCCGTAACTTTCCCCTTACAGCCGAAAGAACCTAACGACAAACTGGATTAAATCTGTTGCATGGTCCACCTGCTGCAAGGGTTCTTTTCAGAATAAAAGCTGAACCATCACGACCCCTTTTTGGGTCTCGCTATGCCAATAAACTGTCGTGATCTGGGAGTATCTCAAGACTGGTCTGGTCGGCAACCACTGCTTTTCCTACCGACTTCGGTTCCAGAGAAGGTCAAGCTGGACCTCGACATTCCTGATCTAACGGGGACTTCCGCCAAGGGTACGTAGACCGACAGAATGGCATCTCAATTTGTGTTACAATCTCCAACCTAAAGCTTAGAGCAAAAACATCTTCACTTCCATCAGAACTAATCGTTTCTCTGGATTTGCTGGTTCTGACGCATATTTCACACATACACCCTCACTCTTACTTCACCTTAGTTACACCATACACTTAAGTGTTTAAAGTTAGTCTAGTGATAAACTGTTTAGTAATAAACCTTAACTTTAAAACATGACTCTCTTTTGTCTCTGAGTTAATACGAAGTGGTTACATAATCCCTGCAATAAAAAGTTCCGATCTTCTGGTTTAAATTATCCACAGATCCATAAGATTGATTTCATATTTCCTATGGAATCTCACATTTTATGGTTCATTAAATTATATGTAAATTTAATCGTTACACGCACTATACTAATAAAACACAAACCTGGAGAGGAGTTTTAAAATGTTTATTTAAAAAAATAGAAAACTTACAATAAAAAAAAAACAAGATAAACATCTAAATGCGACTCATTTACACATCAAAACCCACCCTTCATTACAAATACAAGCCAAGGATTTGGTGAGCTGGAAAGTGACATGTCAGATTATCCTCAAAATGAGATGCTGGGAAACTGCCAGGAAAACTAAACAAAAAGGGATAATGCCAAGATATCATGATCGGTTTTGTGGTCACAATGACGAGAACTTAAGTTTCAAAACTTGGGAGACTAACGCCATCAAAAACATCCTTAAAATTGGAAATTTATACATCTCCCCGAGCTCCTTGTGGTTTACTGTGTAAACATAGCAGCTGTAAAACCTGTTTTTGTTAAAAATAAATTACTAATATTGAAGGATTTGGAATTTTGCTTTAGAAAAAAAAAAAAAAAAAAAAAAAAAAAAACGGGGAAAAAAATGGACCTGACCCCAATGTCCTGGTAGTTGGCTCGTTGAGCTGACTTCTAGAAACATCACGTACACTTGGCAGTGCCATCTCAATAAATAAATACTGAACAATCGGGTTATGTACATGTAAAAAGGGCAGATTTGGTCAGTAGAAAGGCAGTTAACATTTTGCTTAAACAATAAAAAAAAAAACGCATTTAAAAAAAAAGTATAAATATGGCAAGAAAGAAACACTATGCTGGTGAGAAGTAGCACCAACTAGATTTTAAATGGCATGTAAACGCAGATAAACCAGTGCTTTTCCCACGTTACGGTCAAGGGAAACAGAAATTAAACTCACTAGATGCTTAACGATACGTTTAAAATGAGGAATACTTTTAGAAATTATTTAGGGCAGGCAGCGGACACAAATTCAAGGGATTCAAACGAAAAAGGGGATGTAGTGGGAGAGTTATGGCACATTTAATGTTATACCATAGCGCCCCCTTCTGGACCGTTGGAATGACCCACCCACCCACATGCACTTTATCTAGGCCCTTCAATCCATCTATTGCACAGAAGATTTGTAAAAAAAAAAAAAAAAAAAAAAACAAAAAAAAAACTTAAAATTAAAAGTGAAATAAATTAAATTAAAATTATTGCACAGAAATGCAACAAACACAAAATAAGGTGGCGATGTTTATAGTACAGAAAAAATTATTGTGTTGATGTGAGAAAAACCAAAATAACAAGTTTATAACGGTCAAAAAAAAGAAGAAAAAAAAAAGACAAAACTGGTACATTCAAACCAGTCGTCACAGTGTAAGCACTTGAGACAACGTCCGTTTTGTGCCGTCACACCAAAAACATTGTCAGCATTGCGATGCATAGGTAGAAAGGTAAAGTAGTGCTTTGCTTCAGTCTAGAGTAGTTTGCACAAAATCCTCTAAACCTTTAAGAGTCGTGAAGAGAGATTACAGCTAAAGGAGGAGACACATTCAGATGACCAAACAAGACTAAAAAAGCAGATAAGAAAAGGTCCAAGAAGACTCCCAACAGCTTTGATGAACCTTATTATGGTACGTGATGTTCAAGTTGCATGGTCACTTAAGCTGATGCAGATGTGCAGAAAACCATCAGGCGGTGTTGCAGAGGACGGAAGGCCCAGTGTCACCAGTTCATCATTAGTGCTGGTGTACATTCAGTTCAGAGGAAGGGCTGCTGACTTCAGACTGACGGGACAAAATCAGCACAGGTAAGAGCTGCAGCAGTTTCTGCAACAAGCAATGAGAAATAAATGACTCGTGAGTTTTGGCACAATGTGTGAGTGTTAAAAACCCTTCAACAGAATGTTTCAAAACACAAAGCAGATGGGTGGAAATCTTTCAACGGCTCTGGTCAAGGCTGGGAGTACTGTCCTTTTTTCTGCACCTCCATGTGTTGCAGGTGGACTGGTGTTGGTTTCTGACACTCAAAGTTGCATTATGACTCTGGGAAACCAACCGGTGCTGGGGACTGAAGGTGGCATGGAGGCTGCCGGCTTGGTTGTGCTTGAATTTCTGCAGCTCGATCGAGCTGTGGGACTTGGACCTCACCGTGTAAGCATGGCTCTGGTGCCATCCTACCTGAGAGTGGTGGAGAGGGCTGAGGAGAGGGCTTGTTGGCTTGGTGTGTAGAGAAACTTGTGCAGCTTGTGTTGTGTGACGGTGGACAGTGCTGATAGAAGGAGGATGCTCGTGGTAGAACTGGCAATCGGATAGAGAGGGGATGGAGACGTTTTCTGGGAGAGGAATCTGAACATACAAAAGAGACGTTAGAATCCTGCCAAAACTAATTTGTACATTTTAATAATTTGCAGATTTAAGAAGAATTAACACAAATTCAAGTCTAACCTGATGTGCTGAGTGGAAAAAGTTTGCTGACTGCGTAGCCCCCAGGTCAGAGGCCATCTGGAGCATTGAATGGATTGAAGCCAGGGTGAACGGGTACAGCTGAAGGGTATTACTGTTGCTTTGTGGAGATTCAGACTCCTGGAAAGTATTTAGATAAACACAATTTATTTATTACAAGTTGGAATATCAAAATTCATGTTTTCAAATAGTGTAATCCTTACGATGTCACTTCCAGAGGAAGAGGAAGAAAGCGAGCATGCAGAGGAGGATGAGGAATGGTGTTGAGGGCTGGGGGGGAAGACAGGAGAAGGCGAGAGCGAGTCGGCGCTTAGAGGGGAGGACGAGTCTCTCTGATCCTCAACCAGCATCATTCTAGTGAGATCCTGCTCCAGGGTCTCCACGTCTAAAACAACACAGGACACTTGCTATGAGAAATGGTTGCATGATGTGACATGAGGTGAAATTACAAAACTTACTCTGGTTTTCCAGCTTGGCATACTGCTTGGCACCCCACTTTTTGATTGTCCATTCCCTGTAGGCCAGCACCTCCGGACTGACTTTAATTATTCGACCCAAAGTGCTGTGTCAAAACACAAAAACCACAAAATGAAGATGAATCCCTTCTAGGAATGCACCAAAAGAAAAATTCTTGGCCGAAACCGAAAAATAAAAATGAAACCAAGGCCGAAATCCATAAGAAATTATTTTCAATCATTAAAACCATAGCATTTAGGCTACTTTGTGTACTAACCTCACTAAAACCTGCTGAGGACTGTAAAAATAAACCCTTTAGGTGCCAAAGTCGCAAAACTGCATATAATGAGACACAGCCTGCAAATATAATCCCTCCTGAAGTTATTACTTCACACTAGAAGATAGTGGAGATGTGCAACTTCACTTTGAGCAACACTTGGGTGTTTCGATTGAAATTTTCTGATTTTACCGAGTTTGAAAACTGCTCCTGAATGAGACAGGACAAGCAGAGCTCACAAATGGCGAATATTATTATATATTAGAGAGGAGAAACTTACAATGCTGACAGGTCGTACAAAACGCGGCAGCCAGGTTTTTAACAACCCCCCCTAGAAGAGACCATATCACACCTGTACTGGCGCAGCTCCACTGGCTACCCATAAACTCCAGAGCCAAGTTTAAAATCCTGATTTTTGTTTTTAAGGCCCTGAGCGGTCTGGCTCCGGATTACCTGTCTGATCTTTTCACTCATAATGTGCCAAACCGGGCGTTGAGATCTGCTGATTGCCTGCTGCTTCGCAATCCAACAATGAAATACAAAACGCGGGGGCGGCATGCTTTTGTCTATGCTGCTCCGACACTCTGGAATGCTCTTCCTCTTTCAGTGAGGCTGGCACCATCCCTCCTCCGTTTCAAGTTGCTACTTAAGGCTCACCTTTACGACCAGGCATTTTTAAATCCCTGAATTTTATTTTACTATGTGTCTTTTTATTGACGTGATTATCTGCTTTGTTGTGTATTTTTGACCGTGTATTGTTTAATATTGTGTTTTTACTTTTTATTCTGTACAGCACTTTGGTCGGCTGCCATGCCGTTTTTAAATGAGCTTTATAAATAAAGTTGATATGGTGGTATGGAAGGTTTGTTCATTGTTGACAAAACTGTCTGGTAATGGTTGACTCAGATTCTGAAGAGTAATAAATCACCCTCTGATAAAGATTTTCACTCATCCAGTGAAAAAGTGGTGCTGCTACTTCACAGCATCAGTGTGTACTAAATGCACTTTTTGGGTAATTTTCAAACTAAATTTTTGGTACATTCTTAAGTCCTTCCATATAACAATGAACCACACAACATTTAAAACATGTTCTAATTTGTAAGAAAAAGTTATAGTAACAAAAACACCAACCTGTCGTACTCTTTGTTGGGATATGCTCGTGGAGGATGAGAAACACCGTGATTCAGCACCATGTAGGCAAAGTCAAAAACTTGTTTCACATGCAGGACTCCATATGAACTCCTGCCCACATCATTTCCTGTGAAGATCAGCATATGGACATCACACACTGGATGAGTCTTAGCGTTAGCTTAACTCATTCACTGCAATTGACAACAAAAGTCGTCATTTTAAATCCAACCGTTCACAGCCGATGAGGACTAAAGTCGTCATTTGCATTTTTTTACTGAGTGGGCGTCGGAACGAGCCCCCGCACAGTGAGAACAAACATCTCAGCTCTAAAGCCGATCTTCATCCGCGTACGTCACACGTCTTGTGATCAGGAAGCAGAACATCCATGTGTTAGGAGATCGTTTTGGGCCGCTGCTGTAAAAAAAGGGAGGCGCGAACCGGAAAAGCTTCTGCCGATCACAATTCAACAACAGATTATGAAAGAACGGATAACGCTCAAAATGCGTGGATGCTTTCTGATGCAAGAAGTGAGTCTCTGCTTTGTTTTGGTTATTTTGGCGTCGACATCATCCTATCGCGGCTCTTAAAAAAACTGTAAAAACGGTGAGAAACGTCGGCAGCGAAGGGCTTTACCAATCAGGGAACAGCTGGCAGCAAATGAGTTAAAACAGGATGTAGATATAAAACCAGCCTGATTCCAAATCTAAATCAGTGTCAGGATGAAAAAAAAATTATAAAATCAACAGTACTCAACTTTTGCAGGCTTATTAAGAATTCAGCTCAAGTGACTGAATAAATGTAAAAAAAAAACACAACAACAACAAAAAAAACAAAAAACAGTTAAGCTTCAGAATTTCACACTTCACATGATTACAACAAATCCTAGCATGAAAAGAACATTCCGGCTGATTTACAGAACTAATTTTCCTTTTTGTCCCTTTAAAAAGGGACAGGTCCAATGGCTTTATGTAGGTTTCTATAAAGGGGTTATTCAAATCTCATCTATAGTAGATAGCTTCTTCATCACACTAGCTCAGACGGGATTGACAAGCTAACGGCCAGTTTTAAATATGATTTTATGTCATCTTAAAAACTACAATTTCAAAAATGCGTTAGTGATACATACATGAAAAGATGGTTATAAAATTACAAAGTAGATTCACAAAGCTGCATTAGTTTCACATTATATGGTTACTCTGGGAAAATTTTTAATTTGGCCCAGAATTGAGCAAAAAGTTAAGAGTAAATTAGTTTTGCACCTAATAGCCACAGAAATCTGACATATAGTATAGACTAGAAATGTATACTAAATGGGGCTTGCTTGGACTGCGCTGACTGGATTTGAGTCATTTCACAACAGCAGCAATCTACATAGTGAGCCTAAGTCACTTCCGCATCATGGGTCCCCGGAAGAACGAAAAAATGAATGCAAGTCAACGGGGCTAAAAACGCTATTGTTCTTATCGCACTGTGACTAGCCGTTAGCTTGTCAATCCAGTATAACTCCAATATCTCTAGTCTTACCTGGCTGGATTGGATCCTCTATGCAGAGCATGGATGGCCGGTTTCCATTCCCCATGGCTTTTAGCACATCTTCTTTGGACAGGTAAGCTCCTCCGTTCTTCACTCGAATGCCCGTTTTCATGTAGTTGAAGTTGCGACCATACAGTTCAAAGAACTCTATAAGCAGGATGCCCAGGTTAATGTTGGTACGCCGCGTGTCAATCCGGGGGTGTAACTGGACAGAAAGAAGCCAACATTTGAAAACTCAGAGAAAAAGAAAAAACACAACAACTTTATTTTATTTGTACGTTACACTTCAGCATCTGTATGTAATAAACACAGAATCAGATGAGTCTCAAAGCAGTCCAATCAAATTAATAAATAGGGAACAAGGTCTTAATTATCTACAGTAATGCCCAAAAACATTGATAGTTCAGCCATATTACTTGCATCTGAAAATCAATGCAAAACACGTAACACTTTTTCCCCCTCCTGTTTGGGATAAAGCAACATTTTTTTACTTATATAATTTTCAGGTTTATGAATGTATTCAAATACCATCATAAAAATGTGCATGTTAAAGAGCAAGTAACACCTAAATTACCTTTTGCTGATAACCTGTAAAGATGAGTGTCTAATGGTGCTGTACACGTGTAATCATTAGTGTGGCAGTTTAGCGCAACTTTAAATTTAATATTTCAACCCAAAACCATAATTCTATCTCCATCTTCAGGTTAAAACTCTGCTCCACATTTATGTAGAATCAGCTGTGGCTGATGGCTAAGCTGAAAAACGTGACGTTGTCAGCAAATTACTACGTGGCTGCACCGCACTGGTCTGCAGGTGAGGCAGCTGCACCTCCACCTGCCTCAGCCACTCACCTGCCGACTTGACACATTTGCCCTCTGAGTCGCTAGCCTCCTCGAAAAAATGCCCTCCTCCCATCTTCATATAATGATCATGGTTAACAAGAAATCCTCCAGAATGCTGCAGAATCTGTCTGCTTTTTTCCAGAGTGGTAAGTCTTGTGCGAGTGTGTGCATGCACTTGTTAACTCGTTTTTAGATTGAGAAACTGACAGCACACGCGGGGGTGGGGGGGTGCGGTCTATCACTGCCTCAGTGCCGCTCTCGGACCACAAGGCGACGCCTCTTTCAGAAGCGTTTTCCTAACAGGAAGTGATGAAATGTGTCTCAACCCATGCCTTGACCCTCACTTTAAAGTTTCCCACCTCTCCCTCCTATATATTGACAGCAGGATTACAAAACAACCATGCCAATAAGTGTAGGCCACATCAATAAGTGTTTCCATTACTGGAACTTCAGGGTAGATTTACAGGACCCTCCCGACATGCTCGCATTTGCACTTGACAGGGCTGGCCGAACAGCTGTTTTCAGAAAATTCTGAATACCTGCTCAGAGATAGGTACTCTGTACGGCCCAATGGAGTCGCTGAGCAAAACCTTTGGTTAACTCACGCTGATTGGTTGTAATCGAGTAGGAAATTACATCAGCAAACGTTGTCCAAAACAACTGGCAGTAGTAAAAGTAGGAGAGTTGCTGGTAAAGCAGACTGGAAGCTAAAGAAAATAAGCACCAATCATGCTTACAATTAAACACCAGACACTGGAAAACACCAGGAAATTCCCCCACAATGACTTAACGGGGCTTTGTTGTCTCACAGAGCGCCGTAAAAAACGGCACCTTTTCTGGTTGTTGAATGCCACATTTTACATCACACAGCAGCTCTCGTCCACTGAATGGATTAAATTATGATATACTTCCATAGAATAAAACATTATTAATGTTACTGTGGACGCATCATGTCTCCGGGTCAATTTCCCCATCCCAGAATTTACCCTGAAGTTCCGGTAATAGAAACAAAGCTAACGTCACAGCTGGTCTTAGTCCTTGGCTTTGGCTCTAAAGGCATTACTCTTAACTTTCCTCTCCAAGCTCTGCCACGATGCTAATAAAGTAACCTTCTTGTGCTTTTTCTATGCTACCGGCACAACAAAATCCACCATGATAGTTGTGCCCACCCAAACCACCAAGTTGTTTAGTGCAGTTTTGGGTCAGCAGAGGGCTACGGGGTGCTGCCCCATACGGAGAAACACTGGAACCAGTTTCAAAGTGTTAAAAACTCTGTAGTGATGCTTTAACTAAAAATCTTTTAAAATTTCTCAGTTTAAAAGAAAATAGAGCTTTAAGCATCATGAGTGCGTTTGAAATAATTTATCTAAACTGATAAAGAGTTTACTCAACAAGTTGTTTTATTTAGATCATGAATATGTGATCCTAGGCACTGAACTAACTATATGTATAAAGAAAGTGCCACAGTGACACCTAGTGGTGTCAGGTTCACATTTCTATTTGCTGCTTTGGGCCTATACATGTATGTCGATGCTTTTGGCACATGAAACTGAAAGACGGTAACAAGATATGTCAAAGTCCAGTTTCTGTTGCACCATAGAACAATCAGTGGGCATCCAAGTCAATCTCCAGTAATAAACTGGGAGCTGACTGTAGTTTACACGTAGGTTAGAAACCCAAACTACTGAATAAAGTGCGTTCTACTCCGCTACGGTAGGTGGCAACATGCACCCTTTCATGTTAGCATTCTTCCGGTTAGCCAATCGCAACGAAAATAGTAGACAAACAGCGGTGGGAGTGACGCAGAGAAAAAACAGATATGCAAAATGGCTGAAGGAATGGACAACAACGCTGCAGCACAACTTATTTGGTATGTACTGTAATTTATGATGTCATTACACATGTTACATTGTGGCGATGGCATCATCAGAAGACCACTTTTGCGGTCCCAATTTCCAGAAGGTGAATGTCCAACCAGTCACAGCTCAGCTGAGCCTTATACAAGCAGAGGAACAACTGCATTATCTGGGTAATCAAAACAGATGGGAGGGAGCGCGTCTGTGGGGAAAATTATATAAAAAGATGCATCAGGTGCTCTTCAGGATCAGGTAGAACATTAAATATGGATGAAGAAAAACAGGTGATCCGAGGCACTCTGATGATTACTTTACTAAACAAGAACGAGCCGACACGTTTTGGTCGCACGCGATCTTTTTCAGGGCATAAAACATTCATTATCTGGGTACTTTGCTCAATTAGACCCAGTTTGCATTCAGCCAGACTAACGCGTTTACATCAAGAGACAACGCCAGGCACCCAGACCTAAAACCAACCAGGAAGTGACAAAAATTACAGAAACTACAAAACTTTTGGTTGGGAGACCATTACTCCCAGCTACATGCTAACTGAGCTAATGGAAGTTTGCTGGCGCTTTTAGCCAGAAAAAAGTGGTTGAGTGACTAATGTGAAGCACACATCAACTTAAGAGTTTCTGTAGTATCCCCCAGAGAGCACCATAAAACACAAAGCACAACCCGGGTCACATGAGCCCACCCCCCTCCTTCACCGTAGTTGGAGATCCGCAGGGTTGCCACCAAAGACGATTCAGACACTCTGGCTCCCTCGCTTTCCCAGAGGCAGCGGCCAGGCAATCTCCAACCATTGCAGAGGAAGGAAGCTAGACCTCATGTGCCTCAGCTCCAATCATTGCTATCCAAGTTTGTGCTCATCACTTGTGGAGCTCCCAGAGGGCAAACCCTTGATACCTTCAGTTAGCTTGTAGCTGTTAGCAATGGCGGACTCTGTTCTGTTCTCAGCTCCACCTTTTTGCTTTGTGTAGGAGAGTCTAGACTTGTGACACGGCCCAGATGTCTGTGATCATAACTGCCCACTTCAAACTAGCACCCCAGAAACCTATAGGTGATGTCACAGAGGGTGTGTCTAATACTTTATCAATGATTTACATGCATTTAAAAAATTCCAACATTCAGTCGACATTAGGTGAAAGTTCAGTTTACTGACGCTGCATGAAAGCACTGAATAAAAAAGCTATACTATGTTAAACTTTAATAGTTTATTCCTTCCAGAGGGGTAATACTGCAATGTATTCATGTATGCCCACCTGCAGGAAGCTGATAGCCATCAGTATGAGGCTGTATGAGCTGATGCCTCCAGTAAAGACTTCATTAAGATCCCTTAGGAAAAGGAACTGCTTCAGAACAAAGATCAAGGGTGGAAGAACCGTGTACTTCTGCAAAACCAAGAAAAACTAAGTAAACATGAAGCAAACACTGTGTTTGCACCATTTAAAGCATTAAGGACTCACCTTTAGGTAGCTCTTGATGAACTGTGCAGCTCTAACTGCAGTCTCCACATTAAAGCTGATGTCCACTTTAACCTTGGTCTCACAGTCAGTGAGTTTAATAATCGGCACCTGATGAAGTGGAATTCATTATCATGAACCGACATAAAACTTTTCTACAAGATAAACATTAAAAACTTCTTTCAACTCACTGTAGCTTTGTCGAGAACTTTGATGGGGAAGTTGCCGGCCACGTTACGTTTTTTCAGGGCTTGCTCGAGTTCCTGCAGTGGTGGATGGTCCCACTTTCCAAACACCACCAGATCAATGTCGCTGATTACAGAAAAGTAAAATGGAATAAAATCTTCATTTTTGTTTGTGTAGAAGGAAACCTGCGTAACTTTGTTGACTACAGTGGATGCCAAAGAATAATCAGGTATAAGGATAGATAAGGAAATGTGCATAATGCAATAAACAATCATGCATAAAAACTATACAGAAGAGACAGTACAATTATTCACATGCAATTGGAATAAAGTGTGTGTTGTGGGAGGGGGGTGCTAAGCAGTCAAGAGTGTTAGCCATGGGAAAGAAAGTGCACCTGATGCTAAAATCTTAAGCCGGTTTGGGGCCGGTCTACACCCAAGATACACACAAGAACATTTTAAGAAATCGGAGTTGAACCAACAACAAAAACTGGTAAATATATTCCCAGTTCCTCCTGAATGAGATCAATTACTTTAGTTAAAATTTGTCCAGAAAATCCAAAACTCACCTGGTAGGAAGATACAGCCCGGTGCTAAAGCTGCCAAATATCTCCACCTGCAGATAACAAAACAGCACAAGGTTGGACTGACTCAAGATACATCCCTACATTTAACAACGATTGGTAAAAATCAGAAATATATATATATATACAAGTAAAACTTCAGGTCAGGATGTCTAGAAATGTTGAAATCAACAGAATACGTTCAGTTTGATTTGGCCAGTGACAAACAGGTGCAGGTGTGACCTTTAACCCACTTACCCGTGCTGTGGGCCACAAATCCTTGATGACCCCTTGTATCCTGTTCACTACATCCCTTCTCATGGCCTCCTCTTCGGGTCTTGGCGACATAAAGTTGAAAAAGTCCACTATTTCCTCATGAAGGCTGAGAGCATGGAGAAGATGACACATGTAAAATCAAGACACTAAAGGAACGCGAGACTGCTGCTGAACACAGGTGTTTCTTTACCCATTAATGCCCGGGCTGTAGCGCCTGGTCTTCCACAGGCTGCAGGACGAGTCCGCATGGTGCCCGCTGAAGGCGTAGGACAGCGGGTTGAAGCCGTGGAAGGTGTTGGCTCGGTTCAGGTGTCTCCTGCGGCCGGACGGGTGGGAATGGTAGTGGTGCGGTTTGTTCCCCTGCTGGGTCTTCATCCCAGTGGGAGTGTGGCCGACGGATTGTTGCACGCTTCGACTGTGCTGCTGAACGGCGTGAAAAGGAGGAGGAGGGTGCTGCGGTCGGAGATTGTTCTCGTTCAGTTTGCGTTCACCTCGATGTAAAAATTGCTCGGCGTCCTCCGCCACGTTCAAGTTGTCGACCTGAAACGAGGAGCCAGGGGTTGAGGAGCTGTCGGCCTCTGAGTCCATTGATGACGAGGATGGTGACAACGAGCCTTTCCTCCGGACGCTCCCCCTCTCTAAGCCGCCGTCTCGCCGCGGCAGTTTCCCGAACACAAACCCCGATGGCGGTGTTACGTGTCTGCAGCTCTCGCCGCAAGAGTCCGCGGAGTTGGCGTTCTGCACTGCAAAGTTGCGTTGCTGGTGAAGGTGGTTGTCAACGCCGAAATGTGTCCCAAATCCCTGCGCGGTACCCCAAATATGCATCCACAGGGAACTGGCCGGTCCCTTCTGCTCCGGCTGAATCCAAGCGGTCCTAAGATCCATTGGACTCGAGTTAACAGAAATCCTTACCACGAACTGACGAAAAATGAAGCGACTTCGCAAATTACCAATTTGCACCCGGGACCACAAAAAACGCAAGGTGCCAAATTACTCGTCGTCTTCGAAGTGCATCATGTTAGGAAACTGGTTGGTTTTGTTATAGCGGCTTTCACCAACTCCACTCCCCGTAAGACAGCCAGTATGGCACACCCAGCATCAACTAGTACGCATGTGCGAGGGATTTTAAATCTTTGAACACGCCCCCTTAGTGCCGAGTGAAGAATAAAGCTGGAGCCTGGAATAACGGATGTTGATTTAAGGATTTCACATTAAAACAAGTTTTAAGAGCATAAAATAACATTTTTATCTAATCTAATTACCATTGCTACTATTTGTTTTCACAGGTAAAATACTATTTGGGATAATTTTTTTTTACTAAAATAAACTTCTACAAAAAATAAATAAAAAACTATAAAAAGTAACAAAACTTTGCAGGACCCAACAATATGAAATTTATAACAGACTCAATTTCAAAAAGTGTCTTACTACAATTCTATCCTGTAGACCTGTCCACAGTGAGCACTGTGGTGCCACCTTCGCCAAGAAGGAAGAGAGGGCGGGGCTTAAAAAGTAAAAAACAAAACAAAACAAAAATAAACAAAAAAACCCACCACATATTGGCCAGTGATTTCTCAGGACAACTTTTTGCAACTGCCATGGGAAAATGTGCAAAGGAGGATGGGGTTGTTGTCTAATTGAGAATCAATATCATCATTGTGTCTACTTGTCTCAGTTGTATTTGTGAATTACCTATTCATCATTTTCACCAGCAGTCTCTGATTAAACAGTTCCTCTAGCAGGGTCACTGCCTCTCCAAGGGCGCTGGAAAAAGCGTCCATGAACTGCATCTAAACAGCTGATGTTTGACTGCTAGGGACAACTTAAAATATTTTTGTCAATCACTACCATCAACAATGTTTTTGGCTCAGGATGATGTCCTCTTTCACTCCCTCATTCACACACACTCACTGAGTGTTGAGTTTTGACTAAGCTAAAATCATACATATGTTGCAGTACATTTTTGTTCTCATTTAATGTTTAGAATGTTCAAAACCAGATATTTAATTGAATTTCCATGTCATGTTTGGGAAAAATTCTGCGCAACCCTCCAATTACAGGCTGGGTACTTAACATCGTTGATCAATATACAGACTGTTGGGAGACTGGAAACTCAAGATGGGAAACAAACTATGGTCAAAGTAAAATGTGGATAAGACAATATTGGACATTATGGACTGCAGTTGCTCATGTTTCAGAAAAAAAGGTGCACAAGGTGTGCTTATATATTCATTTCAGAATCATTACAGTAAATTTGAGAACTGACCGTGAAAATTGATTTGAAGAGTGGAAATAAATAATTGTTGTGTTCCAACTGTTTCCATTTTCCAGCCCCACCAACTATTTTTTTTCACCAGCTGCCACTGACTTTATCTGAACCTTTTTCAAAATTGTGGCCCACAACACCAGTAGTGGATGTGACTGATATTTTTTAAACATGTTTTATTTTGTTGGGTCAAGCAGGAAGTAGTAATTGCATTTTTTTCCCCAAAAGGGAATAAATTCATTTGACACAAATTTGCTATCAAGATAGCCTATTTTTGTAAAGCTTTTTTGAAACAGTTAACAGCATTTATTTTTACTTCTGTACCAGAAACATTTCTGAATAAATGGAATGAAAATTTTAAATCAATAGGTTTGTGATCATTTTTAAAATATCCCTCTCAGAAGCGAGATTACTGTATTGTACAAGGTGTTCTATTTCCTAACATCTTAATGATACACGATAAGCTTAGACTGTGATATAAAAATAAATGCTAATATTTTTATTGGAAAAATAAAGGTCTTCCAAATTGCACAAAGCCTTCATGAACACAAACATTATTACCCTACATTTTTACAGTAAACTCAAAGTTACACTTGAACAATTTTACAATATTTTACAGTGGTACCTGAGAATAATGAGGCACAAGCTGCATTCCTCGGGGGACAAGGTAGAATAAAACATTAAGAAAACAATGTTTATATCTACCATATAATATAAATGTGTTACAAATGTAGAGAATAAAGATCATTTTTAAGTTTAAGTGCAAAATCATACATTTATAAAAAAAAATCTGATATCTGTAACAATTTAGGTCAAATAAAGACAATACAACTAAAATTATTAAAATAGTTACACACTGAAATTCCAGTGAATGAAGATTTGTAGTTTTTCAGCTTTTGTTCCTTCTGCAAATAGATGCTATTTGATTAATGCAACTAGTGACCGCAGGAGGGACCTTCTGGGTGGTTTCTCCTCTCCATTCTGCCACGGCACTGAGGGCTTGTTTGGGATTGGAGGGAGACAGGTCATAGATGCAGTAGATGGCTGCTAATTGGACCTCCCATGGCACACCTGCAGGCGCAATAAAAATATGACCAAAGAAACGTAGCTTCTATTTATAAACATGGCTGAAAGAGATAAATGAGATCACGATAACTAAAGTCTCATTCACTCGTTATTTCAATAATCTGTGGCCTCTAGTATGAACAGATGCCTTGTGAGTCCTTTTCTGTGAGAAATAAAAAGCTCTTGCTCTCCTGTTTCAGTCAGTCAGAAGAGTGGTGGCAGAAAACGACAGGATTTGGAGTCTTACTCACTGATATTAATGATTTTCAAATGTCTTTACTTTGATTGGCTAACAGCATTTCGATTCTTGTTTCATTCTTTCTTCAGTAAAAAAAGGAAACAATGTTTATTTTCCACAAATACTCACTCTGTGCCCTCTCCTGGCCACAACATCAACACAGCCTTCCAAAGTCGCAAGTCAAGTTGGACAAGGCAATTAATAACAAATTTTCCCTTTGACGTAGTAAAGAATGTCTTTTCTGACTCAATCGATTTTTTGTCTATTTTCTTTCTGCGGCAAATGCAGGCAATGAGGGTTGAACAAATGTTCACATTATTGCATTCATTTGCAACTCAGAGGGATTGATATTATTTCAAAAGGAACAACTATTACAACTATTAGTGAACAAGCTTGTTTAAAACATATGTACCAAAAACAAAACAAAAGTATATGCAAGAAAGATTAGAAAACAAAAGGTCCATCCATCGGAAAACCAAAATGAATTTTTTTTTTAGCTACAGACAGTTTCATACCTTCCGCTTGTCCATGTCTTCCAAATGTGTTGATGACGTTGGCTACAGTGACCACCGAGGTGACACAACTCTCCTTAAGGCCCAGCTGACATAGACGTCCTATTAAAATACATAAATGAATTTAAAAAACTCCACTGTCCATGTATTGTTGCAATGGCTCAATGGTTAAATGTATGATTATTTTTAAAGTAACACAACTGACCTATGAGTCGGAGTACAGTGGCAACGTTCACATCAGAGACAGGCTCCTGTTGACCTCTTTGCTGTGTTACCCAAGAGTTCATTAATGGCCATAACTCATTGCTGTTGAAACAAAGTGAATTGGTAATCAGATGAAAACAACAAATATTTTCTTAAGCCTAATTAAAGGTCTGGACCACTTGTTAAATCAATACATTTTTAGAAGGAATGAATGCCTTGCAAGTCATTCTCTGGGAAAACAAAGCTCTGGTGCACTAGTTTCAGAAAGTAGAAGTGAGCCACAACAGAGTTCAGCTTCAGAGTGCAGGATTTGGAGCCTTATTTGGATATCTCGCCTCGGATTGGATAACAGCAACACAACTCTATCACTGACTCCGTTTGCTCTGCAGTGTTGATGTTTTGTCTCCACCAATAACACAAACTTGTAGGAGTTCTGCTGTGTGGCGGAGTTACCAATGCTAATGTTAGCTTCTACTAGCTGAGACATTCTCTGCTCTTTTCTTTGGAATCGTAGGATGTCCAAGGAAGACCCTGCCATTCTCGTTTCTGATTGGCTAGAAGGGCTCTACTACGATTGGCTTTTTCATTTATCAGCAAACTGTCTTCTTTCACTAAATGCAGACTGTCCTCCTGCCATAAACAGAACAGCTGTTCTGGGGAGTTTTGTAACGAAAATGCAAACTTAGCACTATAATAACCATTCTGTCCTGTTTTGCCAAATAGCTTTTTTCTGTTACTTTTATATAAAAAAGGCAGAAAAAATATGAATTCATAATAAATCTTGAATAAAAGGAAGAATGGCTGGAGCAACTGGCCCTAAAAATTATTGAATAGGTGCAAACAAAAAGAACTAATGTTTAGATAAGAAATGCCTCTTCAGAGTTTACAGCTTGCTGTTTTCCAAGATCTTGTTTTATTTATCACACTGTTGGAGTTACTTTATATCCGCTGGCTGAGTACATAGGAAAAAAATATGTGTGCCTTATCTAGGTATGAAATACAATAAAACTACCATATTTTGCCCAGCTGTGTGCAGCAAGTCTTTTTTTCTGCCAAAATAAGAAAAACTGGGTCTAAAATGGGTCAATATCATAATTAGCTTTGAATTACATTTAGATTAAATGTGTTCTAACTTATAAACGGCCTTAACCTGTTAAAAGTTAGATGGCATGAAGTAGCCTTCCCTGTCTTGTGCCAAGATGGGTGAGTCCATGAATGTTAAAGAGCAAATAGCAGGTTAACTTTTTTCTAATTCATATAAAATGCTGTCCAAAAATACTATGAGAAATGCTTTTTGTGGATATTTCATTTTATTTATTTATTTTTTCACCTTTCCCGTGTCCTGTCTGGCTGTGAAGCAAACAGAATTAATGTCTGAATGCTGGTGACAAGCCTTACAGATTTACTCTCAGGTGGAGCATCAGTGTCTGCTTTTAATGTCACGCCTGATACTTACAACTTTATTGTTATTGTTTTTTGAATGCTTTGTAATTCCGACCAGACACAGAGACAGAGGTGAAAGAGAAAGGAAGAGACAAGAAGAGACAAAAGGTGGGGAGGGGGTCCCACAAAAATAAACAATCAGTGATGAAGAAGAGTCTGCTTCTAGACCTGCAGAAAAGGGACACACAACAATACAATAGGAGCAAGCTATCACTGCGTCAACTTGATGAAGAAATATAAAATCAACATTGTTTTACTGAACAATCACACGATAATAAATCACAGTGCATTTAGTGCCAACCACAGCCTTAAGACATGTGTTGAACGTGCCCAAGTCCATATTTGTGAGAGCACCATGTGAGCACCTGTGTGTGTACCTGCGCTTGTTTATGTAAGGTTACTCTATGTGTGAGGGGCCACAGATCTGCCCCCCAAAGATGTGTAGGAGATGGAGGGAGCTCCAAGTCCCAGAGATCCCGGAGCTGCCCCAGGGCACAGGGACCCCAGGGAGACTGCGACCAGAAAAGCCCCTGCCCCCCTTGAGAGGCGCAAAGGATTGCCCTGGGGGGCCACAACCAGCAGCTGGCAGAGTCCCAGGAGATATCAGCGGCAAGCCCACAGGCCCGCCTGCAGCGTCCCACCCCCTAGCGAGCCGAGCCCGGGACCTAGCGACCCGGGACCCAGATCCCACCAGGCAGCCACCGGGATTGGTCAGGCAGATGCCAAAAATCTTAAACCCCCTGATCTGGGAGCCACGAACACTCAGGCAGACCAAGGCACGGCACTCCACACCTAGTGTGGCAGGGGGAGGGGAGACGAAGATATAGAGCATCAAAAGAAGTCCCAGGAGAAAGGAGGAGTCAAATCCCCCACCTGACATATACAGTTATACACAGACACAGTCACACACTCCCTCCCTCATGCTCACACATACACATTCAACCAAAGACTTACAAAAATGCACGCCGGACACCCACTCATGCTCCCCATACACACTCTATTCACTCTGGTCCTGGTACTGCTGCACAACGGGTACAACCATTAACGGTTCCCAGAGTTCGACCCTTTCTGCTGGGGTGCTGATGAGCAGGCTCCCCTGCCCAACGCTGAGCAAAGCAACCCACCACCCCAGACCCCAGCCAGACGGCCAGATCTCCCTCCTAGCCTCCAGCCCCGGGAATTCAAGCGACAACAGAGGTGTGCTAAGACCCCTAGTCTCCCTCCGCCTGCTCCAATATAGTGTTGGTGCATGTTGATGAGGTGTATTCCATGGCTGTGGTGAGCGGGCAAAGTGGGCATCGTCTGGCCTACACCAGCTGATGCCACCACACCACCCCACTTGCACCCACAGCCCTCAGTGTCTAAGTGCAATTTAAAAATTAGAAGTCAGCACCGGCACTCGGGATGAGGCTGAAAAATGCCCTTGCCAAATGCCGTTGAATGTGCTCACTCCCATGGCCCTAAGTGTGTGTTTGCGTGGAATGTCGTTGGTGGAAGTGTTTAAGGTGCAAATAAAACTGGGGGCAGGTTAACACAGGAATGCAGAAATGGGGTCCACAACTGCACCCCCTGACTTGTCCTCCCCCCAAGGTCCTATGTGCATGTTTGTGTGATGATGTGAGAGAGGAGGAGAAAAATGTGTGGGGATGGGGAGGAATGGCTGGTTGGCCTAAGCCCTCCAAGGAGCCAGCTCCCCCACTGGCCCCAATAGGCACCTCTGTTGCCAAAATGCCCAGCCCATCTTGCCAGGGCCCAAAGCAGCAGCATCACAGAGCCTCACAGAGTCCGAGGGCACCAACCCAGCCCCACCCCAGCAGAATATCTACTCCCCTCCCTGCATTTGCACAACTTCCAGAATAAATAAGACATAGGACATCCAGGTAAGGTTGGGTCCTTCCCCTCCTGGACATCCCCGTCCCCTGTGATGGGACAGTGGATATTTCATTTTAAAATACATAACAGAGTTTTTCTAGTAAAAAGTGGCCTTTCTCAGCAGAGCTTCTAAAATCCGAATGTCCGACATAACCAACGGGAGTTAGAAGTTAGGCACTGCCTCAGCTCAGTGTGGAGAGTGGGTAGTTTTAGGGTAGAGAGGTCATGTTAACCAGTCAGTGTGTGTTTACTAGTTTTGGATTGTGTTCATATTGATAAACTATAGTTTGTGAAGGCTGTACCAACTCCTGCCTGTGCGGACATCGAGTCCACGGGTTTCCAGATAAGATAAACAACGGCTCTATCTCCATCCCTGAGGGCGTTTTGTGCAGCTGAAAAGACGGACTTCTGTACCCCACATCGGTCGGTACCAGGACAAGGAGGTCTGCGCTGGGCTCCGGAGACCCGTGACGGGGTTTAAAAAACTAAATGTGGATTTCTGGAACTCAGATCACCGTCAGAACCAGGTCAGAACCGACCACCAAAAGAGACGCACGGTTCAGCGGGCCAGTCGAGCTGGTTTCTAGGTTGAATCCAGCTCACAGAAGCTCACATGAGCTCCAGAATCGAATGACAGGCATCTCTTTCTCAGCTCAGCGGGCCAGTCGAGCTGGTTTCTGGGTCGGAACCAGATCAGCATCGCCGCCTGGACCACCGAGAGGATCATGCGCAGCTTTTAAAAATACCAGTTCGACTGGCTTGCTGGTGTCTGGGGTGTCTGGTCGGATCCAGCTCACAGAAGCTTGCATGAGCTCCAGAACTGGATCACAAGCGTCTATTTCCATCTCTTTAAGCCAGGGGTGTCAAACTCATTTCAGCTCAGGGGCCACATTGAGGGAAATCTAGTCCCAAGTGGACCGGACCGATAAATTAAATAGAAAACTTCAGATTGTTTTCTTTGTTTTAATACAATCAATATAAAACAAGGCTGGCGCCTGTGGTGGTGGTGGTGGGGGGGGTTGCGCACTCCGTCCCGCAGCACTCCTCCGTGAGAGCGGGGGTGGGGTGGTTGCACACGTTCCGCTGCTGTTTCTCACCAGTATCAGATGATGGAGGAATCTAGTTTTGTTGCGCCATTCGTGTCAGCGGACACGGTAGGGTTGGGGAGAGGGGTGGGGCATGACGCTTAGCCTCTGGTGGGCCCGCCAGGCTTGTAAAGCGCTAGGGGAAACCCTGATATGGTGATGTTAGCACATGAGTTTAAGCTTGGTTAACTCACAAGCTGCTCCCCCGCTGCTTCTCCTCATATCGCAGCACAATCTCTCTGCTTTGGCCGATGGTTTCTCCCTCTGGTTTGTCTCTGCTCTCTGGGGTGGGCAGCAAACTCATAACTTTATGGTTCTGGTCCATCAGAAGTAGAATTATAAACATTTAAAGTTTCCTCTGTGTCACAGTCGGCGTTACAATCCATATTTTTCTCAGGATTAAGCTAACAGGACTCCCTCAGCTGATGTCACTTGGTTTAAAAAAATTTATGTGTGTGTAAACCTTTTTTAAATGAGTTTCTATTATGTTTCTCTAAACATTGGTTCTTGAGTCTCCAACTTGCAATTTGCTCTTTAAGTGACAGTGTGACATAGATCTGTCAGGCTTTTCTAATCCAGGGGTGGACCGTTAAAGCGCCCGAGCGCCAATGGCACTAAATTTTCTCGTCGGGCGGTAAATACATGACGACTTACCGCCCGGGTGGCGCCCAAGCATTATTTGTCATTTACACACCGGCTTTCGCCTACATCATGGCCCCGCCCTGTAGGAAGCTGCCGTTTTCGTTTCGCGCGCGTGAACCTGCGCGCCTCTAGCCACCTACTGCACTTGTACGATTCGTGCACGTACTGCACGATTAGTTATAGTCACGTGAACTATAAGTTCACTATTAAAGACGAAGTGGAACCACGCTAGAAACACACAAGCACGCAGGAAGATGCCGCCGACACAGGGATGGGATTTCTTGATGAAATCTCCGGCAAAACGCTTTAAAACTGGTGAGGAGAAGCGAGACAGTTCGAAACGGTATGAAGCAGAGAAGCGTGTGTGTAGGTGGAATGATTCGTGGCGGTTTAAAGAAGACGGGAGGCGCAGAGAATGGCTGTGTTCGAGTTGAGCAGAGCCTCGCCTGGAAAACAGACGGAAGCAGCAGGGGGAGTGGCTGAAAGCCGGCGTTTCGCCGGGGACACAACGGCCGCGGAAGCGCATCGCTCACGAAGTCCGGCCGCTGCTCGCTGCTCCTCAGTTCAGATCAGACGCGCCCCATTCGAGGCGCGCCTCGGCTCCGCTGTGGTTTTTCTTTTAACTACCCGGTGTCCTCAATTTCCTCAGCTCTTTTCCTCTACGTGTGTGTGTGTGTGAGTGTGAGTGAGTGAGTGAGTGAGTGAGTGAGTGAGTGAGTGAGTGGGAGAGAGGGAGAGGAGAGAGAGAGAGGAGAGAGAGAGAGAGACTATGGTGTGAACCAGTTGTTTCTGCCAGTTGAATCTCTTGGATGTCCCTACATGTGTAGCTCGGGGGTGACGATGGATGAAGATATCGCGTTAGCATTCACACTTGTTCAATTTTCAATTTTAATTCTGGTGCCTGTTAGCAGCTGAAACACATCCTCACGTGCTTGTGGATATCATATATTGTATATAAGACATGACTGTAATAATAAGTAAAGGTTAGCAGCTGTAGGTTCAGTGTGCTCATAGAAAACGTGACAAAAGAAAACAAAACACATTTCTCTTTATGGCCTATATTGTTATCATCAACGTAACATGATTTACAGAATACAGTGACCAACTAACGTTTCATGTTCTACCACCGGATGTTTGGATCAAAATATGAACCAATCAGATCTTAGATCAGGTGAGAGCCAGGCGTTTCCCGTCATCCCCTAGGTTTTGCAGCCGGTGGAGAGCAGCTGCAGCGCCTTGCTCCAAAATCTGCGGCCGCCTTGATCTCACGAGGTTATCGTTGCCTACGTATGCATGACGTCAGAGCAAGTCAGCGTCAAGTCGGACACAAAACCGGCATGCACTGCTCGCCAATCACCGCTGGTCTAATCTGCACAGAACTGGCTCATCTCGAACACAGTCAATGGCTCGAATACAGCAAAGCGGAGTTGGTGATGTACTGCGTTGTATGCCGGAAGTATGCGACGACAAAATCGTGTTTTGTTGAGGGAACAAACAAATTCAAACTTGAATACGTTATTATGTTTGTGAATGTGTACAAAATAAAGGTTTATTACATTTAAAAAGGTTCAGTTGTTATTTTGACTCGTTTTGGCAGCTGACCAGCGGGGCCGGTAGATTCTTGGCGGGGCCGGTAAATATTCAGAGTTACCGGCCCGGCTGGCCGGTTGGTTTTGAAGTTAATGTCCACCCCTGTAATCCTAGAGTTTCACTGCCCATTTTCTATCCGAATCTAATACAGGAGATAGGTGTAAAAGACTATTCTCATGTTCAACCTGCATGGCAACCTCAAAGTGACCCATTATAATCAGAAATATACTGGAATACATGATTTTTCACACATTTAAGTACAAGACAATAAAACATACCCCAGTATATGTTCATATGTCCATTTCCACGTTTTGCAGGAACACAGGAGGTGCAGTGTGAAGATTTGTTCCCAAGATTCATTTCCTAGGTCTTCTCCGTAGTGACTGTGCTTGGAGAAAGACTGTTTTGACCCCAACCGAAGCTCAGACAGTGTTCTTGAGATCAGCTGGTCAATGTCACAGGGAGGATTCTGCAAAATCGAAGTGGTTTCAAAAGAGGCAAGGCATTTAACTTAACATCAATCCATCTTAAACCCATCAAGATTCAACATAGGAAAGTACATCTCTTCAAATTTACACCTAAATATACTTTTATTGCTTTTTGTTACCAGGTGGTTTTTATTTAGAAGTATGTTCATCAACATTACTGCAAATTTTACTCAAAAATTAAACATAACCTCTGAAAAAGCTTGACCTAATCTCTAAAAGTACCTTCTCCCAACCAAGGAACTTTGAAAGACAGTCGAGAAGCCCCTCTTGTGCCTTCAGTTTAGTGATGGTATGAATGGCCTGGCACAGCAAACTACCGTTTGACAGGACCTTTGGCCACGTTGTCACCATGAATAAAACCAGCTTAGCAGAATCTGTGAAATCTGAAAGAGAGAAAAAAAAAACAATCATATAACAAAACCTGTTTTAGTCAGCGTTTATAATGTAGCTCGTGTGCAGAATGTTTTAACTTGAAAAGACAGAACAACATCTTAATGTGGCTAACCTTCGATCAGGATGCTGTAAGCCAGGGTGCGAGCCTTCTCCCAGTATCCCTTCTGTCTACAGATCCCTGTGTACACTCTACAGAGGGCCTGTGTGTAGTTTGTGCAGAGGACATTTTTTTCAGCCTTCAGTTTGTTCAGGATGGACAACATCATGTCTTCTATTTGAGTCTGAGAAGAAATAAGACAAAAAAATAAAATGTGGGAAATGGGAAAACCTCTAGAATTGGGAGGTAGCAGAATTCTACCTAAACAAGGCATTGTGCTGCTTGAAGGTTACAACCAGTGTTATTCGCTTAAGGAAGATGAAGTATACCAACCGAGCCAGACTTGCACATGTCAGAGATGACTTCCTTCTCTTCGTCTCTGAGGACTGGCTTTTTGGGCAGATTCCCAACAAAGAGGTGGCTCTGGAGAACAGGCAGCAGATCGAAGCACTGGTTCCTAATTTTCTCCAAAGGGTTAACGATAACGTCTTGCTCAGCTGTTTCTTCAGCTTCTACACCTGGAGAGACTGTTTTCAACTTCTGTGTACAAGGCGAGGTGGTGTCTTCTTCACTGCTTGGGGTCAAGGAATGCATCTCTATTTGAGTGACATCAGCAGAACTGACTCCAAGCTTGGGACATTTGCTCTTTTTAGGCTGAGACAACCATTCAGCCGGCCTTTTCTCATTCCTTGTGAAGGCTGTTGACGTAGAGCTGATGGCTTTAAAGCTTGACACCTGACCATCTGATGTTGTGGGTAATGTCCCGCTTTCTGATGAACACATACCGAGGCTTACATTACCTCGAAGGATGCTCAGAGTCCGGGCACGAGCAGACAGCTCAGGATACATGGTATCAAGAATCTTCATCGAGTTTTCCTGGGGTGGACTAGCAGAAGATGAAGGGGAAGAGTTATTTGCTTTACTGGGCAAGCGTCCAGGAACAGGTAAAGCATGTTTGGGGGTGGCAGAGCCGAACTGCAAAGGTGATGATAGGACTCCGTTTGAAGGCGTCGGACTGTTCAAGGAGGGACATAGCTGATTGTTAGGAAATAACTGGGCCTCGTCAGGAGTGGTAGGGGAAGCTACACCACCCATGGGTGAAGGAAATGAAAGTTTTTCTATTGCATTTCTGGGGTTGATCGATTTCCCCGCCTTTGGGGGTGTGGTTAGGGGAGAGAGGAAAGGTGGAAGAGGACCCATTTCAGAGAGGACATGACTGATATAATCTGGTGTTTCGGCACAAGTTGGAGTTCCTTTTGAGCTACATTTTCTGTCAACAATGACATGGGAACTTTGCTTTCCATGCATTGATTCACGTGTCTCCGAACAGTCATTATGTCCTGTTGCAAGAGTATCCTTCATCAGTGAGACAGTACAACCTGCATCTGCGTTGTTCTGAGAAAGCTCTTTGACAACAACTTGTTTGATGTCCTCTGCGTCTCTGCTTAAAGTGGAAGTGCCTTTATTTTCTGTGCTTTGTTCCATTACTACAGCCTGCTGCAGTTTTACAGACGGTAACATGCAGGTAGGACTTAATCGTCTACAAACAGAATGTCTGTTTTCTTCCAAAGACCTAGAATCAACAACAACTTTTTCTGGAGGGTCTGAAAACAAAGGAGCAGATTTAACCAGCACTTTGACATTTTTTGTCTCAATGTCAACATCCTTTTTAGATGAAGTTTGATGAGGCTCCTGGTCAGAATGTTGCTCGTTATCTTCTTCCTTCAGCACTAGAGTCACAGATGTATTATCGGGATTTGACTCTGAAGGTGAGGTGGTACGATCAACCCCTCCAGTTTCCAGAGCAGCATTCCCGTTATCGTCTACACAGAGATGGATAACGTCACTTTCTGTATTTTCTTTGATGTTTATATTTGCGACACAACTCATGCTGCTACTAGACGTAAAGTCAGGCATTTCTGAGCTTACACACTCGGAACTCTCCAGGATTTTAAATGCAGTGGTGTCTAAACTGCTCTGACGAGGATCCTGATGAAGCTTTTCAGCTTCTGATCCACTTCCCATCACATCAGCACCATTCAAAGACTTGCAGCTCACTAGACTAGCAACAGGTTGTACAACTACATAACTGTCTCTGAGCAGCTTTCCACTATTGGGCGTGATCGGTGTTTCGTCAAGAACATCAGTCAAGCTTGGGTCAACATCCATTCCTGTAACGCTGTCCAAATAATCTTTAGTGTCTTCCAAAATATCTTTAGTTTCAGACATGCCGTCAGCACCACAACTGTTGGGATTCTCTTTACAGAAATGTTCTTGAGTTTCAGTCGTCAATGGAAGAACATCAACAAAAACATTACCTCCTGGTTTAGAAGGGGATGATGACACCATTTCCTCCCCTGGCAACATGTTGTTGTCAGATTTATCGTTTTCACAGTCTTCAATGAGCTCATTATTTCGATTAGCAACAGCACACAAACCACTTTGTCCCAAGTCGTCTTCTTTGGAAATGTGTTGGTTTTCCTGTGTTGTGACTTCTGACAAATCCCCATTCTCCTCTTTCTGAGATGTGGAAAAACTTGGACTCTTGTGGAGTGACATTGGAGCAATATTTAAGAGATTTTCTTGCTTTGGAATAGAAAAATCATCAGAGCATTCAGGATGACCTTCTCTTTGTCCCTCCTTCATCTTCGCTGGTTCTACCTCGATTTCCTGAGAGAAATTAATGATAGCAATAGATGAGTACCTGTTTTATTGTAGATACTTGTGTAATATAAATACATAATTAGTAGGAATTAAAAAAGAAAACTTAAAAGTAACATCAAATATTCTCACCACGTCAGGGAGTGGAGATATGCAGGGCGGCATCGGTCTAAACAGTTCCAATATTTCATCTACAGAAACTTCGAGTCTGCTTCTACTGGGAGGCTGCTCGTCTGGTTTGTGTTGTTGAGGCATTTGGTTTCTGCGATCACCTGCTTGCTTCTTTTTATTCAAGCGCTGAGGAGACGCCTGGTGCTTGGCGTCATTCTGTGACCGAGGAGACGGTTTCATCTGCTCGTTGATGGCTTTGGTCTGAACGAGATAACACTTAGATTCGCCGATCTTCTGAGAAGCAGCAGGTGACATTCGACTTGGATTTGACTTGTGTTTGGGTTGGGGGGACGGGGGAAGAAGTTGTCTGCAACTAGACTCTGAAACAAAAAGAGATTCAGAAGAAAACCATGGTGACTAAAAATCCTAACAAAAGCCATAACAATTAGAATTGTTTTAACAACAGTGAGATATGCAGTAATATTATACTAACTCACCTGGAAGGTGAAACAGGCTTTCTGACCGCTCCTCCTCAGGTTCTACACATGCCCACAAACTCTGCAGCAACATCCGTAACTTTTCTGAATGGTTCAATCAAAACAATAAAATGTAGTTTTAACTAATGACTTCAGTAGTTTAAACACATTCGTATCAAACAGGAATTTATATTAGTAACAAACACATACCTTTGTCTAACTTTGGCTCTGCAGGTACACTTGCTTGAGTTGCTGCACTTTTAAATTCTGGTTGAGAAATAATTTAAACGTTACTTATATCGCAAACATATTTGATGTTTTCATAATGTTTGATACTAGATTTTCCCAAAATAAAATGAAAGTTTATTTTGTGAGGTTTGCTGCGATTTGACCTTTTAATATTTAACCACAAAAAACACAAAAGAAAGTTTTTACCTTTACATCTCTCTCTTTCCTGTTTCATCAGTCTCACCTACAAAATAAAAGCAAAAAATGTGTTTTTTAAAATTAGTTCCAAACTATAACAACACCCACTTGAATATTTAAAAGTCCTCATTATACCTGGAGGTCATTAATATGTCTTTCTATCATCTTCTTCTCTGAGGTCAGCTGGGAGATTTGATAATTCTGTTTGCAAATCGACTCTGAAACAAAGTTAAACAAACAAACAATTACACTGTTTCACACATTTTATCTAAGGGTTGTGTTTGAAGTCAAGTAAATGTGATGTCTAAAACTCACCCTCAAACTGTCTAGCTTTGTTTTCAAGATCATCTCTCCTAAAAACAAGATTGCAAATTGTTATGACAATAAACCAAATCATTTTCTTTCGTTTCAACACCTTTAAAAAAGTATAAACTTACATGTTTATCAATGAAGCATTCTCTTTCTTTAATTTATCAGATTTCTCTGCTTCTGCTTGGAATTTCTTTAAGGATTCCTGCAGGGAATGAAAAAAGAAAAACATTTTACCAATAAATCAAAACCAAAGGAGCCAAATCTTTGCGAGAGCTTTAACATTTACCTGAGTTTGTAACAAGTCATTTTCAACAGTAGCCTTTTCTCTCCTCAGCTGTGCGTTTTCCAGTGACTGCTCTTCTGTTGAAAACGTTTTAATAAACTTATTTGCAACTTTATAAAGTCTCCCAATAAGCATTGATAGCATGCGAGTGCAAATTACCTTTCATACACTTCAACTGATGTTCAAGATTCTTGTTTCTGAGAAAAAGGAAAACAAATATTTTAATTCCTTGCTTCAGTTGCATTTCTAGTCAGCGCCGGCTCAACTCTTACTTACTCAGCTGCAGTTTTACTGTTTTTCTGCTTCAATTCTTCCATCGTCTCTGACAGCTGTTCATAAGCCTTCAGTGCCCCCTAAACCGGGGAAATAAATAGGTAGTATCCATACAAGTGATGAGAGTAATTGGGTAGATTTGTACCTAAGCACTGTTAACAATAATTTCCTGCAAATCCCCTTTTCCTAAAAAGAACAGACATACCCTCTTTTGCTCCAGCTCTGCCTGCAAAGATTCATAATCTGCCGTCTTTTTCTCCAGAGAGACCAACCGGATCCGGAGTTCCTCCAGCTGCTGTTGAAGCCTGATTGTATCGCTGCACAAGTCAAAATGTGATCAAACAAGAACGTGTTTGTGTTGAAAGGAAAACAAAAACATAGTAAAGTCAAAGTTATCTGCAAATAGGCATGTTTACAAATGTCTTACTTCGCAGCAAAAAATAAATTGATAGTGATTACTTTCATTTCCAATGAATAACACCCATATCAACATGAGGCTCTACCTGCAATTTGTACACATGTATGCCCTCACAGACTGGCTAAAATTCAGCAACACAGTAGAGCAAATTGAATTTTCTGTGACAAACGACAGTGTGCCATTTAAAAACATATTTTGTAAATGAAATCAGGCCTTTACTCTACTGTTCAGTCACGTGGTTACATATTAATGCATCAGATCTAATTCATACATAACATCAAGGAACGTGACCAATATGATCGTAAAAAATGCAAATTCTAAAACCTTTACAAATGATACATTCAATCGCAGTTTTGTTTACCAGGTGTTGCACCCTCGTTTGATTTCTATGACTTACTGAAGACTACTTGTGTATGAATTATATTTGGTGACAAATAGGGTAACCATGACGACACTCGCTGACACTCACTCAGAAACTGTGATCTTCTGTTTCAGTGCCAGAAATGACGACACGTATTCTGTCAGGCTCTAAAAGAAGAGAAAACACACACGTTTTTGTAACTATGAATATGCAGATTAACCTTATGCTATAAAAACATACTAGAACTTCCTTGGAATATTGATGTAGTTGAAGACAAAGGCAGTTTTCCACTAGCCGTTCTGACCTGGTGTAAAACAGAGCAGTTATGACATTGTCCGAATGTCGCGTCGGCGGCAATAGCAGACGTCTTCGAGTGGCTGTCTCCGGGCATCATGGCAAAAAGCTCCTATCTTCGGAAACTCGAACGTTTCTCATTCAATCGCGCCAAATTGGAACACCGTTTCTCGGTGTCACGGGTTGTAGAAACGTTCAAAACAACATCACACTTTCGTGTGTCCCACGTTGATCAAAGAACACAAACAGGACCCCAAAAGTCTTATAATGCCTGTATGAAAACACGTAAAATAAACTGCAATCTTGACTTTTTATCAAATATATGAAAGTCGTTGCGTTTATATGAATATATAATTGGTCTAAATATACAGGTATTATTTTTCTCAGGCGAAAAGATAAGGTTTTAGACGGTTGCAAAAATCAGGCATTGCGACAGATGACCACGCTACGTCGTTCATAAATCTAAAAAAGACACAACTCACTAGCACTTCCTGTAAACTCCTTCAAAAAAACATCCCAACCAAAAACTACTACGATTTTTTAATTCCGAGAAAGACACAACTTATTCACTTAAAACAACTGATCTAAATAAGTCAATTTTCTGTTATATGTGTTCGATACTGAATCAACGAGCTACAGCTGAAGCTATCAGCAGCTAGCTACGATGAGGTCATAGACATCATTATGCTACAAACACATCATACGCCCTCTAGTGGCCACGGGGCAAAACAAAACTACGGAAGCATAAAACAGGTATACGTTTGTTATATCTATTCAGACATGTCAGATAAACAAAAACTGTTAGTTTAATGACCAAAAAAATACACAACTAAATAAACACATAGAGGCATCGATACAGACATTGGGTTTGTTTAATTTGTTAATTCTGTTTCAAACATTACAAACATGAATGTATTTGGATTTCCCAACTACATCAAAATAACTGCGTTTTGTTAAATTTAGTTTTTATTTTGAGTAGTTTCGTTGTGAAATTTAAATGCATTAATGCTTTTGCTGTTTTAATAAACATGAACCTTTTTTTAGTCAAGTCTGTATTAGTGCCCAAATGTTTATTAGATGAGTTGGGTATGTATTGGTTTTTAAATTAAGAAGTAATAGTTTTATATCTAACATGATTAATTAGAAAATACAAACTTATGCTGGTAAAATAAATGTATTATTTTAATATTACCTATTGACGACTAAGTTTCGCTATGTGGCCGCTAGAGGGCATATTGTTTGATTATGTTTGTGGTGCTCTTCGCTAGCTGCTAATACTTCCTGCTTTTGCTCGCTGCTTTAATCTTGTTAAACATAGAATTAAAATAGATTCGTAGAGTTTTAGTACTTTGCATGTGTGAAGACGTTCTGGCTTTCCCATGATTTAGACTATGTGACTTTGCTGTTAACGGATAAAATCTGTAGGAATTCTTACGTGGAATCTTTTATTTTGAAGGAATCTGTAGGAAGAGTTTATGAGTTACAGTCATAGACTGTACTTAGGTTACAGGATTTCTTTTTACCTTTACAAACGCTACCTGTATTACAAACTTTGACCGCTAGAGGGCGGAAGAAGCCATAATCTCGAAAACAGGGATTTAGGTGTTTCCATCCAGTTGACCTAAGTAATATCTATATATTCTTTATTGACAGAGTATGTGGGCATCAAACAAATCAAATGACTGAGAACAAGTAATCAATTTAAACATTTATTTAGACAAAGCACAAACAGCAACAAATTGCATTTATTTTCTGTTACTGGTTACTTTTATGGTATTTAGATTGGATTTTAATTTTAGTAGTTTTTACAGTCATTGTGAAATCCAAGTAAATTTATGTTTTTGCGGGTAAAAACCAAATATAAATGGTAATAAAAATCAATGTCATCAATGTCTGAGTGTGTTTATTAGATGCAGTTGGATATTTATTGGTCTACGAACTAAGAACTAGCAGTTTTATATCTAACATGTATGATTAGAAACTATAAACGTAAGCTGGTAAAATGTAGTTATTTACCTACATATCCAAATAATAACTTACAGTAATTTAATCAAGAGATTTATTTAGTTTCGCCTTGTGGCCGCTAGATGGCGTATATTCTGATCGGTTTATATTGTTGTTAGCTAGCTGCAGACTGTTCGATTCTCATCTGACTACATTGGCATGTTCACCTTATTTGTAATGTAAATATGCTTTTCTGCAATAAAAAATAAAGAAAATAAAAGCTAGCTTCTAATACTTCCTGCTTTAGCTCGTTTATTTAATCTTGTTGAATACAGATAATTAACATATGTTTATTGAGTTTTAGTAGTTAATTACAGTAGTTTGTATAAGTGAAAACGTGCTGGCATTCCAATTTAATCAAAGTACCGGTATGCTGTGAAAACCTGCTTAAAACCTGTAGTAATTTGTACGTGGCAAGTTTTATTTTGAAGGAATTTACAGGAAAAGCAGATGGGTTGTCTTATTTAGCTTTACAAACGCTGCTTTTTTTGTCCGCTAGAGGGCAGAAAAGTCCTTTACCTCGAAAGCACGAGTTTTTGTGATTCTAACCAGTTGACCTAAAAGCCCCGTATATGTATTTTATATAATTTTTAATAACCTAATTTATTTTATTTAGACTAAAATTCTTTAGTCAAGTGTGGATTTAGTTTAGCGCCGTGGCCACTAGATGATATGATCAGAATTGTTTTTTTATTGTTTATTATTACTATTTAAATTGTTTATCCAGTTTCCTTTAGTTATCTATTCATTAATGTTCTCAGTTGTCTATGGTAGGAGGACCCACTCGAAAACGAGATGTTTCATCTCAAGTGGTTTTATCCTCCTAAAATACAAGTTAATAAATAAAAAAAAAAACAGTAGTGCTGCTGATAGTTGCTAATAACTTCTGCTTTACCTTGCTGGTTTTATCATGTTGAACAGGGCCGTGCAGGGACCTTTGAAGGGGCGGATGCTCAAAGGGTACATATAGAGCAAAGTTTTCAAACAGATTCACGATCCAACAAGTTAAAAAATTCAGATAAGGAGACTCTTGGTTTCAAACAACATAATGTAAACTAGGAAAAATATGCCATTAATTAAGGTAACATTATTTCATAAACAATTGTTCTAGTTTGCTGACTTGTGTTAAAACCATATTTTTGCCCCTGACCTGAATCCAAGTTGTTAGATTTTTGATTATCTTCCAATACTGAGCCCTGCTTTGATACCAGGTGGTGATGCAATGCATTAAAAAAGAAGAAAAAAACATGGAGAAAGTCTCACAGTCATCATCACATACTGGTGATCTTACTGGAGGGGAGTGTTGAGATGCAGCAATGGCTGTGCTCAGGAACTATTTGGTGGTTTTACCCCCAATCCAACCCCTTAAAGCTGAGTGTGAAGCAGGGGGGCATTGTGACCCATTTTTAAAGTGTTTGGTATGACCCGACCGAGACTCGAACCTGATCTCCCAGTCCCAGGGAGGACACTACCACAAGGCCACTGAGCTGGTCCCAAATTGTCCTTCTATCTGTATTTGTATTTGAAATTGACCAAAGACAGCTCATGTCTGATGTGGTAAAATATGAGTAAAATAAAAATAATTAAAATAAATGCAACCACAGGGAGTTATCCAGTGTGATCTACAGCTATGGTAGCTGAGATCTTTCCCCGTCTGTAGGAAATTCCTGATCCAATTCCATGATCTCACTCTGAACTTAACACTAAACATGAGAGCTCTGCTACCAACCCTTTACTTAAAAGCCACACACACACACACACACACACACACACACACACACACACACACACACACACACACACACACACACACACACACACACACACACACACACACACACACACACACACACACACACACACACACACACACACACACACACAGTGTCATTTCATACCATTTCCAGAAAACTGCACATACATGGCCATAACTTTGCTTCATGATGCTGATCCAGAATATTTACCTCATTATTTATTTCTAGTGTTCTAATAATAACATGATAGTCAACAATAAAAAATAAACATAATAAAGTAATAAAACATGAAGTTGTGCTCACATTCACTTTTACCATCTCTTAGTGGGCAGCAGAATATTTATCACATTTTTAACCCTCTTATGACCATAAATAAAACTAGTATTTATTTTTCTGGCTGTGAAGTAGTACCAAACAGTGCAGAATGTTTGTAACTCTGCTCTTTTTTCGGAACAACCTCAGCTTTCAGTATCTGGTTTCTATTTAGTATTTATGTTTATCAAAGTCTGTAAAAATGCAGCTTAATTGAAAAAAATATAAAACAGATTTGAGTTTTTTGCATTTATTACTAAATAGGAACCTCAAACCGCCAAGACACCTGTAACTACAGGGGTCCAACAAAGAATGGCCACGCATCATACTGATGTCTTCGGATGTTTATTTTGCTCTCTCTCTCTCTCTCTCTTATTATCTTCAGACACCGTGAAAACTGAAGAAACACAAAGTTTACACCATAACTGTTTGAACTTATCAGTCTCTCATGTCATTGTCCATAAACAGTCTCGCAGAACAGAAAGAAAATGCGCAATAATCAATCACAAAAATGTCCTCTCATTACCAGTGTAGAACACATATGCAACATTATACAAACATTATACATGAAACCATACCGTGTGCGCCTCTTGGACCACATGCAGAATGACATTAACGTCGAGGCTGTAGACGCATCTGTAGCCATGTATCCATGCTATGGTTGCTATGGTAGCGCTGTCAAACAAACTCTGATCATGTGACCATTACAAACTACCTCATACAAACTTTACAGCAGGTTACATATTTAACAAACCCATATTTTGTAATCACATATTTTAGACATGTTTTTTAAATCAATGTTACACTTTTATCATCTTATCTAGTAATTAAATGAACCAAATTAAGCATCTCTCTAACACAGAAACATTTGAAATAAACAACTTTATTTTAACTGTCTCAGGGACAGTTACACTCCCACCAAATTACTAAGATTTATGAACTGTTAATAATTTGAATAAATCTAGAAATTTTCAGAACCAAACAGTACTTAATTGTGACAATCTTGCAAGTCAAGTCTAATACTTTAACCATCCCATATACATTTACAGAAGTTCCACTGGAACATTCTAATTACTCTCTATTAGGACCACTAATTTATGTATAGGGCGTTCAAGAGTGGATGGTTTATTGAGCCTTTCACCCTCTTTCGATAGTGTTCTATTTCCTAGTTGTATTCTGGCTTTTTGGCTAGTTGCTGAATCCTAGCAACTACATTTACTGCTGTATGCCATTTTGAGAACCTTTTGAGTCTCTCCAAGAAGTTCCTGTCCTCTACTACCTTTGTACGTAGTATTTGTGTCGTTTTGACCTCTGGATCACCTACCAGAAGGTCTGGAGTTGAGTCTGGTGTGACAAACCCTCTTTCCCACAGGAAATGAGGTCCAGTGAGCCAATTTGAACTTATCAGTTCTGCCACTGTGAGGCCTCTGGAAGCGTGATCCGCTGGATTTTGATTGGTGCCAATATAGTGCCACTGTGCTGGATCAGTTGCTTCTCTGATTCTTTGCACTCTATTAGCAACAAAAACATGAAATCTGCAGGCTTCGTTGTTAATGTAGCCCAAAACCACCCGTGAATCAGACCAGAAATACTC